ATTCAAAGATTTTAGCTAAGTTTCTCTTCTTATTTAAAAAAAAAAAAGCGCAAGACATTCGTTAACGAGAAAAGCTAATAGCGTGATCTGGTCCTACTTTCTTTCGCTTCCTCACTCGTTTCTATCGTTTCTATAAGTAATAAACTGATGTTGAACATGAGAAGAAAAGAAAAAAAATCGCTATGAGAAATAAGAGTAACGGTGATGGTTCGACATCGTATGCACCGAACTTTCCTCCAAAATAGTATTGTATTGTAATAGAAAAAAAGACGTAGTATTCTACTGCATGCTGTCATCATTTTCTTCTTCAGGATAGTCTTTGTTTTCTTCATGTTTTCTAGGCTTTATGGTCTGTCATAACTTGTCATTGAAGTCGATGAAGAAAAAAAAAAAAAAGAAGAAAAAACTCTTCTTTATTAACTGTCTAGTCGTATAAGATAGACGAAAAATAACTGAACAAGTCATAATTAACATCATGCTACCATTATCATATTGTACTAGTTAATAGAAGTGTAATTTTCGATTGAGTAGCACTTCTCTCTCTTCTTCAATATATATGACTTGAACTTTTTAATTTTTCTTTTCTATTGATATATTATTCAATGATAAATATAGATAGAATATTGTAAAGTATAAAAATGACAAAATTTTCTTTTTTTTTTTTTTTGTAATTATTTATATAGATTACATTAATTTAACATCATGGATTCTCGAGGTCTTTATCAAAATACAAATGATTCTTATCGTCAACAACAAGATTATGATCAAACAGAACTTTATGAATATAATAATGAACAAAATTCATCACGTATACGTCTTGGTAATTTATTTGGTTCAACATTATTACAAAAACCACCTGAAGTATTTCGACGTACACCTAATTTACTTGATTCATTACCAACAAATATTAATCGTACATTATTATTTGCAAAACTTTTTTATTTTTGGTATTTTGCTGCATTTGGTTCACTATTTCCACTTATGTCAATCTATTTTAAACAAATGGGTATGGGTCCATCATATTGTGGTATTCTCATGGGATTTCGGTAAATAGAAATAGATTATTTAATTTCGTAAAATGATTTTGATTCTGAATGAAAAGATGAAAAGAAATAACAAAAAAAAAAAAAAAATTGTCACTAACAATATGATGCTCAGACCGAAAAAGACAATCAAACGTAATCAATCTTGTCTTGTTCTTGGTTTTTTTTTTTTTGTTATTTTGATGTAATTACACCATCTCAATAACTTTTCACTATGAATAAGTATTTGAATAGTCATTTGTTCGAGGCAGATTGGCCATGCAGTCCGGATACTTCGTTTATTTAGAACTGCATTCATTTCAAGAATTTCACAGTACACCAAACTCAAATCCGGTAGCGCAAAAAGAATAAACTAAATTAAAGTTTTTTCTTTTTAGACCATTTGTTGAATTTGTTTCGGCACCATTTTGGAGTGTTGTATCAACACGTTTTCGACAAGCAAAAAATATTTTACTTATGGCAATATTATCATGGATTATTTTTACAGTTGCTATCGGTTTGATTAAACCACCTCCACATTCATGTTGGAGAGAAATGAATTCAACACATCAAATTATTGAACGTGTTAGTTATTCATCTAGTACAATAGCACCAACTATAAAATTAATTGTTAAACGACAAATAACTAAATCATCAATAGTTTCATTGAATAAAACAAAAGATATAATTAATAATCAAAATCAATGGATAAATTCTACTATGTCAACAAAAATAATTTTAACATCAATATCAACAAATCGACGACGAAAATCAACAATTAAAACAACAACATTAGCTACAAATTTAATTGAAGAAGATGATGATATAGAAAATATTATTGAAGATAATCCAATTAATGAAAATAATCGTTTAACAACAGAAATTAATTATAAACAACAATTGAATTCAATGAATTTTCTACCTATTGATAAACCTAAAAAAACGATGGGTAATCCATTATCAATACAACATACAAATTTATCATTAGTTAAACCACTTGCATCACCTATACTCTATGATAAAAAAGATGTTCGCAATGTTTTTATGGTTTTTTTACTTCTTATTATTGTTGGTGAATTTTTTAGTGCACCAGCCATTACATTAGCTGTAAGTGAATATACTAAGAATTAACAGCATGATACATTAGGAAAAAATGATCTTTAAACAAAATTTTATATATGTTGAAGTATAGATCTTGATTTTATTTTAAAAGAAAAATGTTTATAATATTCTTAAATTATATAATTAATAAAATGACTTGTCAACACATTTTTATATGTGAATGTGAAAAGAAATGTTCGATGAGTACTAAGAACTCTTTACAGACCCAATTGAATTTATTTTCTTTATTTATTTGAAAAAAAAGTATACAGTTATATTACTTTTTTTTTTGTTTGTTGAAGTAGCTGATCACTATTTTTAGATGTTTGAATTTGAAAATATTTTCTTTGTTATATCTGATACAATGGTGCATCACATTTTATGAATTTCATTGATTGTTTTATGAACAACTCGTTTATTATATTATCCATAAAATTCTGAAGAATAGCATTCATTATATGTAAAGTTCTAAACTAAATTGTATGCTTTAGATGAACTCTATAGGCTATAGTTAAAAGTCATTGAGAACAATAATGTTTCCGCTTTGATCATTATGAGTAACCGGAAGTCTATTCAGTAATATTTACATTCGTGCGTTATTTTGTTTTCTTTGAATGATGAAAGATTCGATTTATTATTGTTTAAAAAAAGCTGAATAATATCTTTTGTTTTTTTCTTTCTTTTCATTTCTCTTAGGATGCTTGTACATTAGCTTATTTAGGTCAAGATACTGAATTATATGGACGTCAACGTATGTTTGGTAGTTTAGGTTGGGGTTTAGCTATATTTATTGTTGCTACTATTCTTGGTAATAATAAGAAGTAAATTAGATAACATTCATTTGGATGATTTCTTTTTTTTCTCTAGATCAATCCAAATCACTTACATTTCATGCTTGTGGTACAAGTGGACCACTCGAGAAAAATTATACAGTTTGTTTTGCAGCATTTAGTGTTTGTATGACATTTGCATTAATAACAGCAACACGTTTTGAATTTTCTTATGATAACAATGAACAATTACCATTACGTACATTAAATGATGATTTAAAAAGAAAAGTTTGTTCAACAACAACAACGACAAAAAATTCTAATACAAATACATATGAAGAACAACAAACAAATCTTAATTCGATTAAACAAGAGCAATATGTAACCTCAAATACAATTAAATTAATGCAAATCATTCAAATATTTATGACATTTAAAAATGGTACATTTCTGTTTATAGCATGGTAACATATTTCTAAATTTTATCTATCTCATATATATAAATATTTTTTTTTCAAGGTGGATGGGATGTGGTGTTGGTCTTGTATTTACATTTCTTTTTTGGCATTTACAAGATCTTGGTGGATCACCAACACTTTTTGGTAATACAATTTTTTTTTTTTTGATTATTGCATTAATTTTATCTTAAAAAAAAAACAAATGCTTGTAGGTGTTGCTTCAGTTATAAATCATACGAGTGAATTATTTGCTTATTTCTTCTTACATGAACTTATTCATCGTCTTGGTCATATAAAAATTCTTTTTTTGGGTTTATTAGGAAATTTTATTCGTTTTTTTTATATATCAATTATAACAAATCCATGGTGGGTTTTACCATTTGAATTTATACAAGGTAAATAGAATTTTATTTTAAGGAATTCATATGTCTATATGAATTATAAAGGACTTACACATGCTGCTGTATGGGCAACGGCATGTTCATATCTATCACAAACAACACCAGAAAATTTACGAATATCTTGTCAAGGTGTTCTTCAAGGTTTTCATTTTGGTTTTGGACGAGGTTGTGGAGCTTTATTTGGTGGTTTTTTTGCTTCTTATTTTGGTATGTTTTATCAAAAAAAACTCAATTCATTTATTTTTGTATTTTTTATTACAATTATTTAAAAGGTACTGATATAACATTTCGTGTTTATGGAATAATATCTTTAATTTTAATGGGTACTTTTATTTATCTTAATCGACGTTATCATCAACAACAATTAACGATGAGTGGTCAACGTACAAGTTTGAATGTTGATGATTCACGTCAATTTATTGGTAATTCTCCACTTCTTGCTCCACATGGTGCACCAGCAAATCCAAAATGGCAAACGAAATTTTCTTCTGGTCTAACAGCAGGTATTAGACAAGATCAATTATATTCATCTCCAATAATAACAGTAAAACCGGTAACTATTTATTTCTGAAATTATACTTTATTTCTCTTAGTTTTTTTTTGATAATTATAGTTTAATAATCCTACAACAACAGACAGTAATTATAATAATTATCATCACGGTTATTGAATAAACTTAATATCTCGGTGTTTATCATTTCACTTTTTTGTTGTTTATTTATTTTTCATATTTTTTTTTTCCTTAATCAAATGTAGTGTTATAGAATAATATTTGTATTTTTCGCAATTAATGTATAGTATCACCTTTCGTTGAATGTATTTCATTATACATCCATTAAATGTCAAACAATCTTTTATTTTCTTTTACATATTGATATGCGAAATGATAGACTATTTACCATGCCTATTTTTTTAATTAACGATCTAATAGCACAAAAAAAAAACATTCAAAATGAGTTGAAAAATATTTTGATATAAATGAAGGAAAAAAAAAAACATTTATGACATTATAATCAGAAGTAAATAATTTGACGTCTTTAGATAAGACGTAAATGAAAAAATATTGGAGAGAAACGAAAGCAATTCATGCGAAAAACGAATATGATAAACTAATCATATATTTTTTTTTGTTTAGAGTCAACTGATGCATGAGACAGAAAAACAAAACTATTTAAGGTGTATAGTAAAAATATAAATTTTTGTTTGCTCTCATTCGAAAACAAACTTGAATTGACTAGCAACTACACGATGGAATATTGTTACAGTCGAACATTTATATTATTTCTATTTATAATGCTTGTTGTTGATGATAGTACTAATGCACTTAAACTTCGACTGCCATCTCTACGAATAACTTCAACATTTACTAGAACATCTGAATCTGTTAAGAAAAAAAATAATATGAATAATAATGGAATTGAAAATCCAGCTAAAACAATCTCATGCAAAATTCCTGATATTGGAAAAAAAGATGACCTTTAATTCGCCAATCATTCTTGCAAAATATGATTTTTATTATTCTTTTCAAATTTTATATAAAATTAAGCTAGCTGCAAGAAATTATATGAATTCCTAATTATTTTAACATTAATAAGACTAATATGATATGATAACATACAGTAGTTTATTTATTGGAACAGTGAATATTATGAATATGATTGATTATCAAAAAAAATCTGCTTGTTTGTTTTGTGTAAATGTTGATTAAAAACCAAATTATTAAATTTTATAATAAATATTCTTCTCTAAAAAAAATTAGAAAAGATTTTTGACTAGGCATACTTTGATACTTTCCAACATTCATTATGTAAAATTCAATTGAAATAGCTATGATAAATCTGACTGAATATTAAGCAAGCAATATTTGAGATTTGAACAAATTAATTGTAAAAATAAAAGTATATGTAATGCAAAGACTAGTCTTTGTGCAAAATTTGTCATGGATTTGTTTGATATATGTTGTTCAACAAATCTGTATTTTTGCAAGTCGATACTTTTATTTCTAATTCTTTTCAAATTCTATGTTTTTTTCTTTAATCATCAGATAGGATTCTTTCCCATCTCAAAGTCTAGTCGAAGTTCTTTTTATTAATATTGGAGTGATAGAAATAATCTTACAAAAGTTGAAAAATAGATAGTCATCGTTTGCTTCTTATATATATGTGTATAAATGATTTATACGAATTTCGATTCGAAATAGACTGCCAGACTCAGAGAAATTGTTTCCCTCCGCTGGTCAAGTTACCCCTTTCGAATTTTATTTCATTCTTTTTTTCAAGGTCGATTTCTCATGTCAGAAAACTCTTCATTATGCAAACGTTTCGATGAGTTTGATTTAGTTAATAAATAAAAGCCGAGCATTTATTCGACTCAATAAGATTCCTCATCCACACATACGGTCGGTTGAGTGTAATATCAATTGTATTAAGTTGCATGAATATTACTGAAGTGTAATCAATGATAGTCTTCACGTAGTTAGAAAACCTACAATGACATCGTGACCTTTCAGTTGGATGAGTAATTCAACTTATCTCTCACGTTGTTTATTTTCAAACATTAAAATTGTGGGATATTATCACTGATAAGAAATTTTTTACAACGTTCTAGTAAATAATTGTAGTGATTGTCTCACCCTTTTACCATTAGATTAATTATTTTTTGTGGAATTATTATTATTCTGTTTATTTTTTTAGTGCTTGCAATGCCTATGAAAAAAGAAATTATAACAGATCCATACTGAATCATAAAAATAAAGCAGAAGAATTAGACTTGACTCCCAAAATCTGCTAAATTCTTTTCAGATTAGAGATTTTTTTGTCTTGTGAATTAAGATTCTGCGTATTGAATTTTTATTTGATTTGCCAAATTATAATGTTATTCAAAAAATTAATTCATGATTTTATTGTATAATATTGATGAGTATGGTATCTAACATGGCTTTGGAGAACTATCAGAAGTCATGTGATACAACCGAATAAGCAAATTTATTTTACTTCTTATTTATGCAAATTAATACAATCACAAAAAAGAAGCTGATGTAATCACTTGTTTTTTTCACCTGTCGTAGCTGTCACCGTGTCCTGTACGCGAATCTATTCTTTTTTGTTTTTGTTCTTTTAGCTTACAAGTATCAAAAGTAGAAAATGAGCTAATCACTCCTAGACATAATGAAATTTAAAATAGCTGTGGCTTCTTCCAGATACGAGCTCAAAATTTAAATTACACTCGAATTTGAATTCACAAAAATTTAGATTCGAATCTTACTACTTACTTAATCTAGTTTTCATGTATGATACAATTAAGACTATTCTATACATCTGAAGATATTTATGTTATTGTTGGTTTGATGATTTTCAATGACGAACTTCATTTATCAATTGATTGTTTAAACGAAAACTTTTAACTTCGTAATCATCAAGTAATGGAAAAGTGAAGAGCAAGAAATAACTATACGTTGACTTGTTTTTCTAAGAATTAGCTTAAACTTTGATCCTTCAATTGTTAACATACATAAAGAGTAACCGATATTGATGAAAAAAAAACTCAGCTCTATACCCGACTGGGTTCGAGCTCACAATATCGTGAACTCACAACTATCTAAGCTGATACTGTTGCATCAGAATTTTTAATATAACTATTTTTTGTAAAAAAAAAACTATTGACCGATCTCGGATATGTCTATACACTAATGACATCTTTAATACCCTCCTATTTTCAACGCTTTTCAAGCAAAGCAATTCATGATGATTAATTATTAATGTATGTCTTCACCAATTGATGATGATTTTTTGATAAGTTCAAATGTCGATTGGAGTACCGGTTAAAATCTTACATGAAGCTGAAGGTCATGTTGTTACAATAGAATCTGTAACATCTGAAGTCTATCGTGGTAAATTAATAGAAGCTGAAGATAATATGAATTGTCAATTATCGAATGTAACTGTAACATATCGCGATGGACGACAAGCACAACTTGAATATATTTATGTACGTGGATCAAAAATTCGTTTTATGATCTTTCCTGATATGCTCAAGGTAAAAAAAAAGAAATTAAACACGTATATATATGAATTAGATCTTGTGATTTTTTTTTTGTTAAAGAATGCACCAATGTTTAAAAATATGCGTGGTGTAAAAGGTGGTACTGGACGTGGTAAATCAGCTATTTTACGTGCTCAAATTGCCAGAGGACGTGGTGTACGTGGTCGACCACCAATTAATTCATTTGTTGGACAACCAGGTGGTCGTGGAACAGCAGCACCTGGTAGTGATCGTGGTGGTGGACGTGGTCGTTAAAATGAACCGATAATATTTTAGTCAGATCAACCGGTGGTTTTATTTTTTATGTTAAAAACAAAAATCCTATGAACATGCAATAGTTTAATTGTTGCTATTATTATTGTTTTGTCATTGTTCTACACTTTGTTTTTTTGCTATGTGGGAAAGTGAATAAAATTATTGATTAAAACAACATTTATGATATGTAATCACAATTCTTTTTTTGTTTTTTGAAAGTGCTTATATCTTTGAAATCGTTAAAACACAGAATGATTAATCATCGATCCTTTTTCGATGAGTTTTGTGATACATCATGATTTTATGATCGATGATTATGCTTTGTTACGTCAAAAATCGAAGTGATATTGTTCATGTCACTTTGATTTTCTACTGTTATATTAAGAAATTCTTATAATTAATATATGATGATGAATATTTTTATTCAAAAACTAACTTGCTTACTTTATTCCATCAGAACACAATATGTAATAAAAAAAAATTTGATGATGCAAGCAATTTCACACAGATAAACAAGAACATCAGCGAAAGAAAAAGAAAAAAAAGTTTATCTACTCAAATTGATGTTTTGAATCGGGTTTTTCTTTGAAATTTCTCCATGTATATCTTATTTTTGTTAATAAATTAAATATCTAAAAAAAGATGACATTGACGATAAAACATCTAAAACTATCTAATTATTATGAACACCTTTTAATATATTCTGTAATTATTCTATCTACTTAATATTAGAGTAATGACATTCATGCCGAAACTAAATTTTTCTTTTGCCTTCATATTTCTATGATAATATTTCAAAAATGTGTAAAAAATTACATTCAACACTCATTATTACAGACTTGAAATATTTCTCCAATTAAATGGCGTTTCATCATCTATCATTTACTAAACTCAGTGATTAAATTTGACTGTCGGTCTGATTTATCACTGCGATTCTTAAAAAAATCATTTCTTGTGTCATAATCAAGATTTTTACAACATGAATTGTATCATAGTGTCAATAAATTATTTCTGATCCCTAATTCCAATTTGAATAAAAAATACTTTTTGCAATAGTTTATAACTAGAACCGAAAGTCGATTTATGAGTAATGCAATAGGCGGCAAAACGTGTGATATGCGGCGGATGAAATTTGTTTGAGTCGTCATGATGAATCTGATATATTTCTGGTTCTACAAATGTCTACCCAGGTGCAATAGTTATTGAAAAAAAAGAGTACAATTAGCAAGTGAATACATAGATAAAATCAAGGGGGTAAGTGCAGGCACCCAGCACTTCAGCACCTGTTCGGCACCTATATCACATTTCACTATGAGCACCTACGGCACCTACAAGCACTGTTCCATTATCTTAAGTACTTTTTCAGCACCTTGTGATAAAATTTAGTGTTTAGGCTCTGCCCTTTAAATTTTATTGCAAGGTGCTGAAAAAGTACTTAAGATAATGGAACAGTGGTTGTAGATGCCGTAGGTGCTCATAGTGAAATGTGGTATAGGTGTCGAACAGGTGCTGAGGTGCTGAGGTGCTGGGTGCCTGCACTCTTCCCCTTGAATAAAATCATGTTTTAAATTAAAAAAAATTAGCTTATATTAAATGATTTTGTGAATCAAATAAGATAAGACAGCTTCTCCATCATTTATTTTAAGTAAATGTGTATTATCAAAAGAATTTATCACGATCATATTTACAAACGAAAAAAAAACTTGATTATCTAGAGATGATAAAGCAATGGTCAGTGAACAAAATGTGAGAACGAGAAACATATTTTAGTGTTCATAATAATGAAACTGAATTTATGTTATTTTATTTATCAAGATGGTTTTTTTTTGTATTACAAGATGGTAGCATATAATCTCGGCAAAGTTTTATTTTTTTGGTTCCGAATATATCTAGTTAATATACTGTTAAATGATCAAAATTCATAGAATCGATAATATCCAAGTATAGATATGACTTACTTCAATAAAATTTTTTTTTTTATGATTAAATAAAATAATTATTTGATAGTACATGACTTTCTTTCAATTAAAAGATAGTTTTCGAAGATAGTTGAATGAAATTAGTTAGATTGCATGATCTATATGTGCGTGTTATCGCAAAAGGAAATAACAAACTTGATGAAACTATATAAATTATGAGCATTTTTGCAGCAATATGACATCCAATAAATATTCATTCATATTTTTATTTTCTAATACACAATTTTTGTGTTCATCTGATCAATTTACACTTTATTAAAAAAACAAAAGAAAACCAGATAAGTTGTATTCATCTCTATGTTGAATTGTCATGTTCGTAAAATCTATTGTGTTTTTGATATTCATTCATTGATGCATTATGAGATATGAAAGATGTCAAACTCTATTAGCTTAATGTACCGCTGTATTTGATAATAAATCAAGCTGAAAATCGGTTTATAAGAATTAAAAATTAATCAGTTGTATGTCTACTTGTTTTTCTAGGGAGAACACGATTGCAAAAAAATAAAACTTTCTAATCGATAGAAAATTCTTCAATATGTAGCTACACCGTAAAGCAATTATTGGCTTTCATATTTTGTATGAGGTTTATAGTGATCAAATTTTTCGGCCATAGAATGAAAAGACAAAGAATAATTATATTGAAATTGCGCCCTCTGTTTGTTACTTTTCCACTATTGGACTTTTTCATTGAGCCATTAATGTTACTGTTCGCCTCCTGTGTTTGTCTCAGTCTACCATGGTTTCCGTTTGTTCTGCTTCACTTCGTATCCAATGTTTGATTCTTTTTTTTTTCTGTTACTATTTTTGTTGACGTTGATATGTGATTCGTTGTTTTACAAAATAAAAATTGTCACATTATGAATATTATTCATTAATTAATTTTAGACATTATTTTTTTTTATTTAAATACGAAAAATTAAAAAAAAAAATTTAAATCATGGTCATTCCATTTTCAAATACAAAATTACGTGTACCAACAGGTTTTCAAAGTCTCTTGGTTGGTTTATCAACTGAAATTCTTCGAAGTCAACCAAGAAATATTCATGAATTTGCTGCTGATTATTTTGAAAAATTACTTCAAAGACGAGGTAAGATTTTAATGTGATTTAATATTATTGTCCGTGACATTTTCTTAAAAGGTCACTGTATAATCAGTTAGTTTCATTTTTTTTTTGTCTCTCTCATAAAATAATAATAAATAATCAATTATTTTCTAAAATGTCAAATAGAAGCAAAGTAATCAATTTGAAATATATCAAATTAATTCGCTAAGATAAGTTTGTGGAAATCGTCCTTTGACACTTGTAAATAATACGATATATCTATGCTATTGAAAGACGTCAGTAACAATATTTTATATATATTCAATGTCTATATCCGATATATGATCTTTACTCTATTCGTATATACAATATCATCTGCTTGAATGATCTCTCTCTCTCATCGTTGAGAAAAAGAGATGAATTGTCTTAATGGATCGTCGATCATCGTCAACGGATATATGCAAGCGTATCTGACGTACGTCTCATCATTACCATCACTAACCATTCATGTTGATCATCTCATTATTTTTTTTTTTCTTTCTCTGTCGTCTTTTTTTCTTCTTGCTATGTATCTATTGCATTACTCTCTTTATGATCTGTTCTCCATCTACTAACGTTTTATCATCAATGGTAGATTCATTGAAGTTCGATTGTTTTCTGTATACATTTGTCGATTCATGATAATGATGATAGCTGTTCTTCTAATGAAATCATTCTTGACGACATATAGAAACATACACATACGTCAGAAAAAAAAAAGACATGCACAATATGGAATTAGTTGTTGTTTATTTGTACTTACTCAATGAATACTCTTCAGCTTTCTTCTTCGCTTCCAATCAATTATTTATATATGATACGAAAGTAGCCAAAGAGAATAATAATAATAATAATCATAGAGTTCATGCAATTGTCTGTATATAGACAATACACAGATGCTCAAAATTATATTATCGATTGACTAAAATATAACTGCCTTGCCTACGACTTTTTTTTTTCCCTTGTATTTTACATATATACATACAGAGATTAAGGGAGTAGCAGCATAATACGAATGAGTAATGTCTCTAAAGAATTCTAATACATAAAGGATCAAAATTAATCAACGAAATGAATAAGAAAACGACTAAGTGTATGTGTATATAAGAAGGCGTTGGTACCATTTACCCTCGAGACATAAAGTTTGGTTCGAAATGAAAAAAAAACGCTTCGATTATTATAACATTTTTTTTCTCTCGACTCGACCGACCATCTTCAGCTTATAAATGCGTACGTAGCAAACAATGACTTATACGTATAATGAAAAAGTTCATCAATCTGATCGAAGAGAAACAATTTTTGCTGATTCGCTCGTTCTTTTTCTACTAAAGAAATATAGAAAAATAGAGGAAAGAAAGAGAATAAGAACAGTTCTAATGACAAAATACTCTTATTACCATTACGACTGCAATCATAAACTAAGTAGTAACAAGTAAGACGATCCGGAAAAGAAGAAGAAAGAAAACGTAGAACGACAACGACACGAAATGGGTGCTTGTACGTCAAAAGTGAAAAAAAATAAAGAAAAACATCTAAAAAATGACACATCAACAACAAAAAAGAATTTAACTTGTGAACAATCATCATCAATCAATGTTGATAAATTTGATAATGTACCTTTTATTGATTCAGAAGAAAAATTAGCAGCTACACCACCACGTTTAACACCTTCAACTGATAATGATGAACAAACAACAGTCAAAAATGATTTTGAAACAAATCAATCATATTCAAATATTGAAACAATTGATAAACTTAAACAAGAAGTTTTAACATTTGTTCGTGAAAATATTTTATCAAATAATGACGAAAAACAAAAACTTATTGATTACGTACATAAACGAATTATTGGTAATGTACAAGAAAAAAAACTTATTAATGAATATCTTGAAGAATGTTTTAATCATATTCAAGAAAATCATCTAATAGATAATGATGATAAAATAAAACAACGTTTAATGAATATGATAACAATTTATGTTGCATCACAATCACCTGATAATTCATTTTTAAAAGCACTTTATGATAAAATGGGTTCAGCACTTGATTTAAATTCATTAAATGCTGAAATAAATGAACATGAAGTTGTTAATGTAACAGTAACAAAACGTGTACGACAAGTTTTTCTTGATGATTCATCTTCATCAATACCAAATCAAAATTCAAATACAAAAAATACTGTTATTCATTTATCAAATAATGAACATAACATTCCCGATGATTTACCTGATGATATAAAACGTAAAGCTGAACAAGTATTGAATAGCTTTAATGATGTTATTCATTCAAAACAGCATTAGGATTAAATTCTGTTTGTTTTATTGATTCATGTGTTCGTTTTTTTTTCTTTTATTATTATTATTATTATTATTATGACTATTACTTTTTCATAGGCAATATATTATTTCTGTTACTGTTCGTCTTTTATGTGTGTGTGACATTTAGATAAGAGGGAAAAGTTTTAAGAGAAAATTCTTTTTATATTATAAATATATTACTCAAGATTAATAGATAAGACTCTAAAAAAAAAATGATTGATGATATAATCAAATCATATATTAACTAGAAAAAAATATTTAATTTTGTTTAACATTTTAAAAAGATATCTTAGAAATCATATTTATAATATACAATAAGTTTATAAACTGTGAATATAATTAGTCAAGAATAACAAGAAATATTTCACAAACAAATGTCTATATCATTTGTCAAAATATATATATGAGACATTTTTTTGAGAACATTTTTCATTGTCAAATATTGTATGACTTCATATTTTAGACATAAATCAATCTCTGCAAGGTTTCAAAAAATAGAAATCTATTTATTATCATAATACACATTAATACTCTTGTTCAATAAAGTCTTCTCGTTAGATATAATAACATATTTCCAAGAAAACATTTTTTTTTGTTCAAAAAATAGATACACACTTTTGTGAATCAATTTTAGAAATTTGTTTTGTAACTGTTGCTATTCAAGAAAAGAAAAACTACTTTGTGATTCTATATACATCTTGTTTATCAAGTTTGGTAATAAAAATAATTATTAAGACAGATGAGATGTATATATAACTAAGTGTAGTTGAAAAATTATTTCTTTTCATTCTGTTATTTCCGACATTCTCAAAAATCTTTGTATAATATAAATATAAAGCATTCATTGCTCAAAGAAAATAAACAAAAGAAACTGTACGGAAGTACTCTAGATTATTTCCACTTTCGATTGATTGATTTCTTTCAAAATGAATTCAAGTAGATAAATTCTAAAAAAGAAATCGTTCTTAGAAAATAATTAGTATCTCTCAAGCATTATATATCATTTAGAACAAGGTCAATCATATTTACCTGACAAACAAACATCACTTGAAGATCGTTATTACAATAATCAGAGTTTTCAAGTAGGTGATTTTAATTCGAGAAAATATATTATTATTATTAATATTGTTATTTTAGGAAGAATATCGTGTTAATGATCCAGAAGTAAATAATGCAGCAACTAAAATTCAAGCCAATTTTCGTGGTCATAAAGCACGACAAAATTTAGAAAAAATGAAACATGAAGTTCGTTGAAATAGTTGATATATGATTTTTTTTTTTAATATATTTATTATTAGAATAAAGAAATGTTTGATGCTGATCAACAAGAACTTGGATATGGTCGTGAACAAACCGAAACACCAAATGAAAATGAATATCGAGTACCATCTGTTGAAGATCGCGTAATTCTAAATCATAGAAAAAAAAAACATAATAATCTTTGTTTTTTGTTTTTTTTAATTGAAAATATTATTTAGAAATCATCACCTTTAATAAGTACACGTTCAGAACAACAAGAACACAAGAAAAATGTAATGAATTTATTTACTGATGTTTTTTTGTTTTTAAATATATTATTCAATTTTTTATGGTAGATTGTTCACATACCAGCAGGAGCAGGAGAAAATGATGAAGATGAAAAAGAAGACGAAGAAGAAGAAGAAGAAGAACCAGAAGAACCAGAACAAATATTTGAAAGAGAAAATAGTGAAGCAGAAAGAGAAGAACAAGAAATTGCTGCAAGAGCTATTCAAGTTTGTTCTTTTGTTTTTCAAATTTTTTGAAAATATAATTTCACCTTTCTTTTTTTTACTTTATCAGGCAGGATTTCGTGGTTCTAAAGATCGAAGAAGTGCTCATCGAGAACAAGAATCACCTGGTAGTAAAGGTGAACTTGATCAATTATCTGACCGACGACCATATCAGGTCTTTTTTTATTGTTCGAAAAATAATTTTACTTCCAACCAGATGATTTCAATATCGATAGATAGTCATCGTTAGAATTTAGAAGAAAAAAAACGTATTTTTTCTCGATGGTTAAAGCCAAATAAATTGAAGATAGATTAGATTTTTTTTTTCTTTGATTGATCAGTGTTTAATATAGATTTATTTTTAGGATGTTGATAATGAAAGAACGCCAACACCACGATCAACTCGTCTTAGCGAAAAACTTGATAGTGATCGTCATGATCTTGGTGGAAATTTAACTGCAGATGATCAAATTGAAACGGGTTAGTCTAGAGTAAAGTTCGTCGGATGCAACATTTTTGTGCTCGAATCTAAATTGTATATCTAATTTTGACGCAAAGTTTGTATTCTGAATCTTCAACTTGCTCTGAAGATGCAAGATACTATTTATCACTTATTTATATACCGAAACTAACATACCCTACACGTTTTTCAGTCAATCTTGACGTCTATCTGATGATAATCAGATTCTAATTAGCTGCTAATTTTTGAGTATGACCCGGAAAGACGAGTCTATACCGGAATTTCAATTTAGTCAATAAAAAATTTCCAGATCAGGATTCGCATCCGAGGCCAACTTAATGGAATCTAGTTCAGTGTTGTCGGTTCAAAATAAGTCTCTATATATGGAAATGATATCTATTATTGTCTTTTCTTTCTTTTCTTTGCTTTAGTATGATATAACATTATATCCAAATAGAAAGAACGAGTTCACTATTACTAGCTGGATCAGTCCAATATTTCTCTTGATGTTATTGTCGTTGAGAAAAGATTTTGCCTATGGATAATAAAATATGACAAGATAGCTTATCGATAGAGAAAGGAAAAAGAAAAAGAGAACATCATCCGAATATAATTACGAATCATCAGTAGTGGATATTGTTTGCATTCTATGGACTCGGTAACTATTCTATACAGATAGATAAACAAAAAAAAAAAGAGAAAGAATCATTTCTCGTATGAGTTTATTGTATACATTGATTGATGTGAGCTAAACTGATTTAGATGAGAGAGTAGAATCATATCCTTTATTACTTAAATATCCAATTTAGTGAGCATTAATTAAACCATATTGTTAATTAAAATCGTCACATTTTCTTGTATGAGTATTGAGAAGATATAAACTCTTTTTCTTTTTCGATTACGCTAAGTTTTTTGTCATCTCCGCAATTATCTAGAACATAGAAATCCTTTCACTGCTATTAGTAATAGTAACGCATTATTAGTTATATTAGAAAAACGTAATGTACAGTTGTCTGCTCGTCGAACTGTCTGTTAAAGAGATGAATTTGAAGCCTTGATTATCGAAGTAATTCATAGGACATCAAGCACCATAGAGTGTTTGACATATCCTATAGTGTCAAAGAAAAGGAGTATATACGCCAAAAAAGTACACATCGTTGATATTTGACAGTACGATTGGTATGTCTGATGATCGATCAGATGACTTGCAATGGTTTATCTTAGATAGCAGAAGTTAGAAATGACATTGTTTCTAGATCGAATTATATATATTTGTCTAAATGTCAAATGTCAAAAGGTCATTGTTTCTGTTTTTATATTTAAGGCGAAAACGACGATACTGATCGACCCCGTCTTGAACGTGAACCAACACAATTAAGTGAAGATTTCGAACGACATACACAAGTTCCACGTGATTCCGATTTTGACCGAGAATTACAACCAGACTACAATAACGAAGGAGACGACATGGATCATTCAAATCTTGACAAAGCAGCTACACGTATTCAAGCTTCATATAGAGGTTATAAAACTCGTAAAGAATTAGGTTCCATAGGTACTCATGAACAACATCCATCATCAACATCTCCTCGTACACACGATGAATATGATAATGCTCATAATAAAAGTAGAATATTATTTTTCAATATTTTATCATGCTTTTTATTGCTTATTTTTAGTTTTATCAGCATCAGCTGAATATAGTAGAGAACCAGAAGTTGAAGATGATGATAATGCAGCAGCTACTAAAATTCAAGTATGATATTCTTCTTTTTCCTGTCACTATAATAATTTTTAACTTTTACATTGTCTTTTCAAATTTAGGCTGCTTATCGTGGATATCGAGTTCGAAAAGACTTGGAAAAATAAAAACATGCTTTTGATATAATGAAAAACAATTCCACATAATTGACTAATTTTCGTTTTGTTTGTTTGTTTGTTCTTATTTTCTCATTTTTTTTCGTTTGCGTTTTATGACTTTAACAACATAATTCTTTGTGTTGCATGTGTTTGCCTCTAACGTTGACCAACACTAGTGTTTTAATCCGTATTTCTGTATTATATGAACGTTTTACTCATGTCTTTGCGTTCCATCATAACGTTTTCTTGTTTTTGCACGTATATTTCACATAAAAATAATTTTTATGTAAAATTTTAAAAAAAACGAAACAAATTCATAGATGAATATAGAACAAACCAAAAAGAAAAGCAAAACAAAATTTTTAAATTGATTAATTATATTTACAACTATCAACCTTTGATAAATGTTCATTTAACATGAATAATTAAAAATGAGAATTACATCAATAGACATCTGCATATTACATTGATAATAAATCATTCATATAGATGAAAACACAGATTATTAATGCATACTATTGTAGAATCAAATAATCATTATGTTATGGCTTTAAACTCCTAGGTTTTAGAATATTTCTTATTAAATATGAAGAGTAATGATTCAATGTTACATAAGATATGGTATTTTACAGTTAAGAAAACCATCATCAGGATTGTGTTATTGATCTATTCTTTCATATGTCAAGATAAATTATATATGCTCGATATCAATTAAGTATGAGACAACAATGGAATAAGTTTTTTTTTTGTCCAATATGTTGTTTATATTTCAATTAATACTAGACTTCGTAGAAATTAGATAGTAGAAATCTTGTCAACTCTAATTATCTATGAACAACTTAAACGCTCGATATATTACTACAAGAATGTTCCTATATCATAATGTTCATGTTGAATATTAATAAGTATAACAAAAGTTATGCAATATGATATTCATAGAGGTTAAATGCAGTATTGTTAAGTTTCACTCTCGATAATGTTTTTTTCAAGCTGAATGTAAAGTCTTTCAAGAAAAATACTAATTACTTTCTATTCATAGTATTATATGTTTGTGTTTATTCCTCAATATTAATCATTGATTATTGTATATTATTCTAGGTTTTCACGTTTGATATTTAAGCATAGGGTCATTATAGTATTATTGAATGATGTTTATTTTATGTCAAAATGCACCTAAAAATAGTTTTTCATTACTATATGCCTAACCTTTTTCGTTAATAATCATCATGTTGTATATAGAAATATGTTCGAAGTTTTCTGTAACTCATTATAGATAAATGTTTTGTTTATATGCACTCTTTACATAACAAACGACTATTAATATAATACTAGGACAAGGATAAGTATGTGACATGCGCGGTCTTGGATTTTTCTTATTATTTTTTTTTAATTTCCATAAACAAAATCATATTCTTGAATAAGTGAAATACTGCGGATTAGTCTAGTCTTTTCTTTTGGAATCATTGGAAAAAGACAAAAGAAAAAGTAATAAGAGAGTAGATGACTATCAATAAGGAACATACATGACGTGATAGATAATAATGAAAACAAATCTCTTATGTATGCTATAAAAACATGAAAAAAAACTAGAAACAATTGATTAGTTCAACATTAGTCTATTCTACATTTACCTTTGTCTCAATAACAACGGCAATAAATAAATCATTTATTCGATTGCAACATTAACAATAATAATCAATTATATACAAATAACATGACTTCAAATTTATATTTATTATCTATTGTTGGTAATTGATTCTGCATTTTTTTTTTATGAAATAACAAAAATTTATTTCAATAATTTGTTTGATATTTAGCATTATGTTTTATTTTAATGCAAGTTTGTTCACCGATGGTAGTTGCTAAACAATATCTACCATTGCTAAGAAGCGACAACAATGATGATCACCCATATATACGACAAGAATTGGCTCATTCATTATTTCCATCAACATCTTTTATTAATCAATTGAATGAAAGAGATGATAATCAAAATTTTCATCCACCGAAACGTGAATCATTTGGCCGAAGACATCATTGGGATGTCTTTTTTGGTAGACGTTAAGAAATTTGATTTTTTTTATTATAATCATTGTATTTTTGTTTTCTTCTTGAAAAAAGAATCCAAAAAGAATAAAAGAGCCAATAACTTTAACGCATGAGAAATAAATAAATTCGATTCGTTCCTCTATCTTTTTCGTTTTAATTCTATTTTACTATATGAAAGTTCATCAGATGTGGTTGAAACTAAATATTAAAGTACTCATTTGATTCAAACTGAACAAAAAAAGAACCATTGGTAGATCGTTTCATATAATGTACACTATACCAACAATGAATCAGCAGTAGTTTTCTGCTTAATCTTCTGACCTTGATTTACTTACTCGTATATTGACGGTAGTGCAAGCAAACATGCAACATAGATAGCATAATCCAATTAAAACCATTTACAATTGTTTGATAATTATATATGTTTCCTTTGAATGCACAACAAAGAAATAATCAAAATCAAATTTTGAACTAACACAAATATACAAATGTTTTTCTTAGTTACTAGCATTGTATTCATTACTACTTCAAAGGATATTTTAGTTATCATAGATATGTATATGTCCATTAATGTTTTTTTTTTTTATTGCAACTAATCGGAAGTGAAGAGAACATTGATAAATGAATTTTTACATGTGATAGCTATCAAACATATCGACAGAGTAGTTCTTGTTTACTATTATCTTCCTTATAGTACTCTATTCTTCAGGCTAGTGTAATTTGAGGAGCTTATAAACTATGAAAATTGCTGTAAATCGATCATTTCTGGTAAAAATTTCGAGGGTAATCAGTTTATCTTGGCGATTTTGTCTATTACCAAAGGCAAAAATGATTCTACTGATATTATCAGTAAAAGAGAGAAAGTTTATTTTTGATTTTTATTGACTACATATTTAATCATTTAAATACGTACGAGTTGAAAAAAAACAATGATGGAAAAAGATAATGACAATAGATCAGACATGCATCCTCTAACATACAAGAATAAGATAGCGGAGAGGAAAAAATAGAAACTTAAAAAATAATTTTCTCTTCTCCAATTATTTCTGTCATCTATTCTACTATCTTTTCACGAAAATTTTCAGTTAATAAAAATCAAAAATAAACTTCGAAGAGCTGCACAAATGAAAAGACACGGTTTATTTTTAAATTTCAAGAAAAGTAATAAAGACGTAGTTCATATATTGTAACATGACGTTATCTCCATAAAAAAAAAAGAGGAACTAAAATTTCTTCTACAAAATCTACTTTAATATTTTTAATAAAGCTTCTCGTTTATGTCTGTACCGTTTGTTCGATACCAACAATACTTCAATAGAAGTTCAATTTAAAATAAAGTTGGACAAATCATAATACATTCATTAATAAAACATTATTATTAGTTTTTGAATGATAAAAAAAAGCAAAAAAAAAGAAAAGTATCGTAACTTTAAGAAATATGTCATTCTCTAACATGATACTTGTGGTATATAAACATGTATTTCTTTACGAGTACGAATTGTTGGCGTAGATGGCAAAACGTTTGTTGTTGTTGTGAGTGTTTCATCACTATCTTCTTCATAATATTGATTAATTGGTGTTGTTCGATGAAATGTTTCTGGTGATATTGATCGCATATAATCAAGATTTTCAAAACGTGATGATGAATATGATTCATAAAGTGTTCTTGCTCTACTAAGTGGTCTTCGTTTATCATTAGAATAAGTATAAGTTTTTTCAGTTTTTGGTAAATTATGTGAATAAAAATAACCAGCACTTGGTGATAGAGCTATACGATCAACAGTAAACGAATTTGCCAAATGATTCATTTCATCATTTGATAGATCTCGTTCAGAAGATATTGAACAATGTGATATAGATCGAACAAGTGATCGATAAACATCAAAACCTGGCTGTTTTTTATTTTTTTTTTGTGCACTTTTTCGTCGTTGCAATTTTGATGGATTTATTGATGTTGGAGAAAAAGATGATGTTTTTGATAAAATAACAATATTTGATGGAATTCGATTTGTTACAACTAAACGTAAATCACGATAGGACTTAGGTGGTGGTGATGATTTAGATAAAAGATAATTTCTTGCATTTGTATTTGAATTATGATCACGTAAATATAATCTATTAAAATCACATATATCAACACGGGTTGGTGAACGTCGTGTATTCAGTAGCATTTTTCTAAAAGAATATTTTTAAAAGATAATATAGAATAGGGTGTAAAATTTATAATGAATAAAATTTTAGCAGAAACACTTCCGAATCAACATAGAAAACAAAAAGGATTGTTATTATAAACGAGAATTGTCTTCTAATTGATTAATTGCATGTGAATTGGGACCATGTACATCATGTAAAGCATAATGAATTATGAATACTCTGAAAAAGAATTTCTGTTGTTTGCCTATGGCTTTCAACATAATGCATTTTCCGGTATTTTTTAGCACTATACTGTGATCTCCCTCAGGAATATTACAAAAACTAATTTCCAGATTTCATATTGAAGTCTTGCACAGAGAAAAGCATTAAGAAAAATATTTCATTATGAATTTATGTACTCCAACGCTAAAATAAGAATAACGTACAAGACATACTAGTATCATAACTGTATCTTGAGATAGGAATGACAAACGTATCTGGAACTTTCATATCAAACTATTCTGTGAAAAGTTAATTTCTGAACAAAATTTCAAGTTAAAATGCAAAAATCAATTTTTCCAGGATTTCTGAGAGAGATCATGGCATTGTGCTAAAAATACTGGAAAATGCATCAGGGTATTCATAATTTATTAGACTTTACATGATGTACATTATTCCGACTCTAAAGTGATGAAGGTTACCTCTTTCCATGATCTAAAAAGTTTTATTGCCGTGGTATAGTCCGAAATGTTATCTATCTACTGAATATATTTAAGGATCTAAAAATTGGTCTTAAATGTTAATACGTTCAATCATTAGAAAAACACATACAGCTTTTAGCGAACCTGGAATATTTTTGTTTTTTTTTATTCAAGGAGAAATGGAGATGAAAATTGTGACTTTCTTTTCTCTATTGTGATCCTAGTGTCTCATAGAAGACAGCATTCAAATGCTTCCAGTGTATGAATACTTTTGCTCTGTTATTCAAGATCTATGTTCCCTGAAAATTTCAAATTTTTCTGATCAGTCATTCTCCAGAAACTCTGAAAAAATCAGGAGTACGCTTAATCAGCTGATAGATTTCTCTCATTAAATAATATTACTATTTCATAAGAGAAATAACCGCTGAACATGAAATTCTAAGACATAATTTCTTTTGTAGAATATTTCAAATTCGACGATAGAATGATTCTAACATTTATAAAATATATTTCTTGTTCTCATTACCTGCATCTACGTAGATTGAATCTTATTTTAACAGCCGCACATTCTTCTTCAATTACAAAATGGAATAGTATGTGTTAGATGATGTACACATTAACAAACAAACAGAACTGATCATTAAAAAACTACAAGGAAAGAACTAACTCATCGATGAGTTAATAAAGAATTTTTTTATTCTATCCTATTTCCGCTTACAATAATCAAAATATATCTATTTAAACATGCTATCAATCTTACTAATTTATTCATACTTACTTGTCACTCAAAGTACAAATAAAAATGATGATATAAAATACATTTTACTCCCTAATATGCTGGCCTACTTCACTTTATGTTTATCCAAAAGAAACATAGAAGACAACAATTATTTCTCAAAAAGAAAAAAAAAACGAAACTTAAAGTACCATTAAAATTTTCTTTTTGTTAATAAAATTTCTTCACAGCATTGTTGTCATCCATTTCTTGTACATAAGCAAGTAAAAATCAATAGAAACAATTATTTTACAATTTATAAGAAAAACAAATCAGAGAGAAAAAAAAAAGTCAATGAATTATTCTTTTCTTTTATTTGAGAAGGACTAACATAGTCATCATAAAAACAAATGTGAACAAAAAAAGAAGCAATGACAATTTCTTTTGTTTATTTCTGTTGTTGTTGTTGTTAACAAAGCATGCGTGCGTAATTATGACGCATACGACCGATACGAACACCTTTGTTTGGATTAACAGTTAGCAAAGTACCAGCTCGTAAACCAGAATTAATTGTAAACATAGCACGATTACGTACAACACTTTCCGAAACATTATTTGGAAATGCATAATGTTTAACTATATGATCAATAATTTGTTGTGAACTAACGCCTGTTTTATCTTTATCCAGTTGACATATAGCTTCACGTACCATATTACCAAAAGCATGACGTACTAGACGATATATTGGTACTTGATTTGTATTTGAATTTGGATTAAATTTTGGTACAAATTGTACAGTACATGTTTCAGTACGATCTTTATTAGTTTTATGTGATTGTTTCGTTTGATGATTACCCGTAGTTTTTTCTGATTTTGTATTTGATTTAGATTTACTTTTTATATTAGTTACATTGGTCTTATTAGCAGTTGCTGAGCGTTTCGAAGGTGAAAGAACGGTTGAAGCTATCTAAAATCCAAATGAATTCTTCTATGAATATGGTTTTTTTTGTTTAGTGTATCGGACCTTTGTCTTCATAGTTGATTTTAATTTATTTGTTCCAGTTTTATTCTTTTGAGATTTCGAAACAGCTAAAAATTTCTTGTTTATAATTAGATGTCGATAATAGTTTAGAAATCTTACGAGTAGAACGAATATTTGAAGTATCAGTGATACGTTGACTCTTACTACGTCCGTTAAATTTCGATTTTGAGCGCATACCTAATAGATATTAAAAAAAATAGATTTTCAATAATACAAATAATTTAAATAATACCAGATAGTGTGTTAGCAGTTTTTGGAGAAGTCTAAAATAAACAATATTTAATCATTTTCTTTTTAGATGAAAGAATAAACTTGTCAACGTACTGCTAAGCGTGTATTTAATGTTGGATCCTTCATTTCTAACTTGTTACCTATGATAATTATCATAATATTTTGATTGTATTATATAAATATAGACTACTTGTCTCTGAAGGAGATCGAATAATATTTGATTCATCCAATGGAACTAATGTTTGTGAAGCAGAAGATTGTTGTTTATTCTTTGATTTATTACTAAGAAGTGACTACAATAGTTTAAAAATTTAAAATAATAAATAATGCAATTAACAAAAGCAACATACAGATTTCGAACTAGATCGTTGTGTTGTTTCTTTTTTGCTTTTCGATTTACTTCGTGGAGACTATAGAAAATGATATACTAACGAGAAAGCAGCATCTCCAACTGTCAGATGCTGTTCAAGCTGATATCACGACTACAAGTAGACTTTTGTGAGATTAAGAACAATCGACAGAAATTCGAATACAATCTTTTTAGGTTTTTCTTAGTCTCATATGGATCTACTCAAGTGTCATCATATCAAGTCGAACGGCATCCGACAATTGAGGACATTTCCTCGTAAGATTAAGTATGTAAATAATAAGACTAACCGAAATTGAAGGATGTTGTGAAATACTTGTATTCGATTTGTGTGACTATAGATGATAAGAATTGTTTTTAAAGAAATAATAAAAAAAATAAAATAAACCGTATATGATGTTGATGACTTTATCGAAGATCTTGATGTTGTTCGTTTAGTTGGATGTAATTTTGAAGTTCCATTATTAATTAAAGTATCATTTTTTGTTTCTTTCAATAGAGTATCACTAACAGAACTAGGTTGTTGATTTGACTTACTTTTTGAATATATATCACTATGACTAGATGTATTTCCTGTTGAATAAATATCACTAACAGCTGATGATTTTGTTAAGTTAGCAGCTTTTTTAATAAGATCTCGACAGAAACGTAATTTTTCTTCTTTTGTCATTCGCTCAAATTTACCGGTGCCGATTGTCATAATTGAAGACGTTGAAATTTACAATGTTTATTTAAAAAAAAATATAATAATTAAAGAAAACAAAAACAACAATCGGACACAAAATAATGAATTAATCGATAGTATTGATGCATAAACGCGCCAGACGCCTTGTCTATCATCACATGGCGCCATGTATTAATATTACATTATTCTTTATTGATTAGATTAAATCTGTACTGAACATAATCAACTTATAGAAATGTTCAAAATAGTGACCATTATTATTCATACAGAGTTTCATCTTTTTTGACATTGTATCAAATGTTTTTTTTAACGTAGGATTCGCTTCTGACACCTCACTGTTGCACTTGTAGCAACTATAACTTGATAAGACTGAAAAAAATCATTATTTATAGTAATATGATCCCGTTTGAAGCGATGTTTGACATATTCTGATGTATTTGGATAAAGAAAAAAAAAATTTCAGCATCGCATAAATCCATTTTTATGAGCCTAAATTGAATTTTTCATTGACTTTCAGAAAGTGCTGATTACTTATGGAAAAAAACATTCTTAGCTCTATCGAGGCATGAAAAAAATAATCAGTTCACTTTTTAATCTATAGCTAGAAAAAGTAGATGCGTTCATCTCAGTACTTGTCCTTGATGAACATGAAGACAAAATACAATAGATGCATACTTTATCAGAATCAAAGTCTCAGTGTTGCACTACACTCACTGTCAACTTCCAGTATTTTCACTGGAACTAGACATATTAGCCGATAAATTTCTCGGCGGCGGCGGCGGCGGCTAAAATTTGCCACAGATTCGGCGGCGGCGGGAAAGTTTTTTTACAATATATGGGTCAACATTTCGAATATGTGTATTCTTTAGCAAAATAGAAAAAAAAGAAACATTTTTACGTCGTGAAAGTTGTAAAAGAATTGGAAAGATGCTACTACTGATTAAGTGTCGCACTTTTATCCAAGAAATAAAATATTTTTCTGACTGAAGAAGATTCATGCAACACCGCGTCGGCGGCGGAGGCGAAAAACTCTTCGGCGAGGTCTCCTTTTCCGCGGCGGCGGATCAAAATTTTGTCGGCGGCGGCGGCGAAAAATCGGCGGCTAACATGTCTAACTGAAACTGCACATTTCTAATCTGGCACATTGACATTCAGTGTGGTTTATCGAATGATGATATGTTAGATTTCTATGGAGGAGACTCTTTGAACAACAAGTTATTTGAAACATCTTTTGTGCGATTATAATGCGATATAAATGCATCGTGAACTAATGCCCTCTGATGTCGCATGATACCAATGATATAATCCAATGTTTATCTATTTGCACAGCGAATGTTCTACTTGTTCTTCTTTTCATTGTTGCCTCTTTCAGCTGGTATCTTTCAATCAATTTGAAAATATATATAAAAAATCTTTTTCTTTATTATCGGAAGAACAACGTGGTGAACCAAGCTCAATAAGTATATATACATCTGATCTTTCATGAGATTATACACACATTAGCTGGCACAGCGTTGTATGTAACCTGAAGAAGTATCTTTTTGTTAGTTTCCAGTTCTTTTTTTATAATTAAATTTTGATTTTAGTTTAGGTTTAACTTGGTGATAATGATTTAAGTTCAAGACTAAAAAATTATTCAAATTGAACATAACTTATACCATCAGAAAATAAATTTAACTCAATTAAATGAATTCAAACCAAACGAAAAACATCAAATATTTATTTTCAATGAAGAAAATCAAAAAAAAAAATATTTATTCTTGATTAATAAATTGTCAAGTAACTAAAATTAATGCTTATAAAGAAACAATCTTTAGTATGGTAAAACTAGTTTTTAGTCCTCATTTTGATATCTGATTTATCTATTATTAGTTTTTGGTTTTTATAAAACATGAACAATGTCAATATGTAGAGGTATGAAATAAATTAAGAACAAACTTCTATATAATAAATTTAGAAAGCTTTCATCATTCAATATAAGGACATTAAACAGCAGCAAAGTGACAAGTTAGTATTACCAGAGCAACGATTTCTGAGAATCTGAACTACAATTTTCTTCTTCACTGTCGAATAAGCCGAGACTTATTTCATAGAATTACGAAGGATATGAGGTGAACGTTCTTCTCTTGATTGTATACTCACATCCGCCATACAAAAACAAAACTGAGTTGTATAATGAAACTCACGTATATTTTCGAAGAAAATTGATTTCCCACAACTATCATATGACTAACATAAAAGCATGGACTGATTAAGTCCTAACTTTCAGGAATAATAAATATTAATGTTTCTGAGTTCATCGAGATACCTAATAAATATAACAGATGTGTACAATAGACTTATGTGTCTAGTAAATCAATTGTTAGCTTAATAATAATCAGTTATAAAAATGAAATAAAAAAGATAGCATGTTCTCACAATTGATTATAATTGAAAAATGACTATGGTCTTTTTGAAGTTGAGATTGAAATTAGAGATGGCTAATGTAGCTTAAGTCTACCTTGTTGACTAGACAAAATTTATGAATGTTTTCACAGATCGTTGGCTATTTAATTTTTACATGAATGCCATTTTTCGTTCTAGGATTTTATTGCGTAACTCTTATTGAAGGCAAGACAATCTGATTTATAACAAACAACGCATTTGATATGTCCTCAAAAAAAGCAAATGGGAAATATGAATCATTATAAATGACTCAATATATAATAATAAGTAATCCCGTGACTAAGAGAGACATCTAGAACTTTCTTACTCTAGTAACTTATGTATATATACATGAAAAAAACTCTCATATTATTTTCATACGAAATATATCATCTGTCATAAAGTGAGTGCGCACAGAATCGCTTCGATTTCTTATTGATATACTTTTTTCGCATTGATCTTAATAAAAAAAATAGTATTTTATTAATTTTAATTTTTGAAAATAAAAACCCGTCATCAAAAAGTTTTTATAAGTTTAAATATAAAATAAAATGATTCGGTTTTTGATTTTAGATAATATAGAATATTTGATTTTGTAATTAGAAGAAAAATGCATATAACAGTAGCAAAATTTGGTGGTTCTGAAAATGTACTCACAGTTGATATTGCATCTGATCTTTCATTAAAAGATTTAAAAGCTGTTATTGAAGCTGAATCTGATTTTGGAATCAAAGCTGATGAAATGAGTCTTTTTTATGAAGGTTAATACAAAGAATATTTCTCTTTTCTTTTTTCAATTATAAATTGAATTTTTTTTTAAGGAAAATTACTTCAAGATGATAGTCAAACACTTGCACAATGTAAATTCAATGATTATGATTTAGTTACTTGTCAACGATCAGCGCGTATGTTACTTTCTCTTATCTTCAATTTTCAAAGAACACATAGAAGAGAGTAAATTTTTTGATTGAAAATCAATGTTAACTAGAAAGCTTAACTAAGTTTCACAGAAAAATTCAGTCGTTTCTCGAAGAGACTTTGTTGAAAAATTCTGCATACAGAGATTTTATGGAACAATACTATATAGTATCTATAGGTGAAAGATCATTGAAATCGAAAACCGTTTGGAAAATATTTGTTGTAACAAAAATTCGATTAGGTTGTTCGTATGAACTTTTATTTGCCGAAACTAATGTAGTTTCGTTTACATGAACATATTTTGAACCAGTTAAAGCTTACATATAACTGTATACAAATAATGTCTGTCAATCTCTGCGATTTTAATGTCGCAAAGCACTATTACACTTACAAGCATTATTCAAGTACTTGATAAAAGGTAAAGAAAAAGTTAATCAACAATCTTGAAGTACAGATAGGTATCCTTCATCATCATTCTCGTTGCATTCAGGCAACAGTAGAATATAACGATGTTGTCTGAACCAGGAAAAGAGAACTCTAGTCAAGATTATACTCGTGTAGAATTTTGAATTTTCGTTATAAATCTCGTTACAAATTTATTTCAATGGAATTCACTTTTATTGATTTAGCTATGAATGGTTTATTGCCAGATGCAACAACTATGTTACGTCGAAATATGAACCGTATGTCTATGATATTTCATTCAAAAATCTTCATGTCAAAATCGATATATTATAGCACGTGATCCTCGTCAACTATTTGAAATGCTTCGTACTAATCCTGAAATGCTTCAACAAATTCGTCGAAATTCTCCTCAATTAGTTGATGCTATTCAACGTGGTGATTTTAGTATGAAAAGAAAAATATCTATCAAAACTAATCAAGAAAAGTATTTCTTTTTTTAATTTAATTTTAGATCAATTCATGGAAAATATAGCTGCTCAATCACCTGAAATGCAACAACGGATGGAACTTGATCGACTTGCTAGTCTTGATCCATTTGATCCTGAAGTACAACGACGTATTCATGATATAATCAAGTAAACAAAATTATTCACAAAAAAAAAAGAAAATTTCTTTTAAATATCTATATTTCAGTATGCAAAATGTTCAAGAAAATATGGAACATGCTGTTGAACATGCACCAGAAGTATTTGGTCATGTTGTTATGCTTTACATTGTGAGAGACAATAAAACTAACTTTTATAAGTAAAAAAAAAATGTTCTTTTTTTTTATTTAGAATTGTAAAGTAAATGGTCATGTTGTTAAAGCTTTTGTTGATTCAGGTGCACAAATGACAATAATGAGTAAAGCATGTGCAGAACGTTGTGGAATAATGCGTCTTGTTGATCGACGTTTTAGTGGCATTGCAAAAGGTGTTGGTACACAAAAAATTCTTGGACGTATTCATCTTGGTTTGCTTATTTATCTATCTATCTATCTACATATATATATTTTTAATTGGTTTTAGCTCAACTTGAAATTGAAAAAAATTATTTTGCAACATCATTATCTGTTCTTGAAGATCAACCGATGGATATGTTATTAGGACTTGATATGCTTCGACGTCATCAAGTAATTATTTTCCTGTGATTTTCTTTTTGATTAAATTATTTTAATTATAGTGTGTTCTTGATTTACATAAAAATGTTCTTCGAATCGGAAATGTTGTTGAGACAAGTTTTCTACCTGAATCTGAATTACCAATCCATGCCAGATTATCGGGTAATACACCAGATATTGAAGATGAGGATATCAATCGACCTGGTAAATATTTGAATTTATCTTTTATTTCTATAAATATACATAAATCAAACAAAGATAATATAGCGAACTAGTTTCAATAGACACACTGTATCATTATATTTGGGTTACATTAAACTTTAGAAAGCTTAAAGATATCCAGGTACAAAACCGAAAATATAGAGACATGTGTTAGAGAAAAAAATTGTAAAAAAGATTTTCGGAAGAACCCTAGTTTTTTTTTTATACGACCATCATCAAACTTTATCCGATTCGGCTCAAAGTGTTTTTGAAAATTTGGTTTTCTTATATTTTAAAATGAGAAATATGTGAAGATTTGTAGCCAAATAGAGAAAGCCTATAACAATGTGTTCCTATTGGCCTTCGGCGTGGAGTTATGACGGGTCTACTGGATTTTTTTATCCTAGCCTTTGCCTAAAGATAGGTCTCATAACTCTGAAAATATTTCTTCGTCAAGATATGGAGTATGACGAAATTCATCTTGTTCTACTTGAGAAATTTCTATGACATAAAAGACTATAGAGCCTACTGTTTAGATCTCAATATCAAGATAGAAAAATCTTTGCATGATAATTTAAAGAATTATTCTATTTATCATCTTAGACAGCCCGGCACAGCCGACAAAAATAATGCGATGCAAGTAGTATCCTATTTGTTTGTGATTTTTTTCAATGTAATCAGTTTCATTTTGTTTAACATGGTTTTTTTTTGTTAATAACTCAATTTTACTTGAAAAGTGTTTTTGAAAATAATAATATTCTTTTCTTTTTAGCTGATAATCATCATGAATCTCGATTAGGACAATCAGCAACGGCAACTTCAACATCATCTCCTTTTCCAGAAGATTCAATACGACATATAACAAAAAGTGGATTTACACGAGAACAAGCTATAGACGAATTAAGATTAACAAATGGAGATGCAACTAAAGCTCTTGTTTCATTGATGGCAAAATCTTTATCAGTACCAAAACGAAAACGTTAACCGCGATATTTTTTTTTGCATGCATTTATGATGGTATACATTTTTACACTAAGTCTAGAAAGAAATTCATATCTGTTTTTTTTTTTTTGGTTATTGCCTTCTAAGCTCTAAGCAATTTGTTTCATTTATTGTCGAATAAACGGGCTATTCACATATATATACGGGGATAAATAAAATTGTTTTTTCATTAAAAAGCAGTAGGCTCTTAGAAGCACTTTGAATTTATTTCTATTGTTTTTAGGTTAGCATTCTACCAGGATTTCAATGATTTCTTAGCGAAAATTTTTTTTCTGATTGTACATTGGAAGATTTTCTAAAGAGAACAGAAGAGAAATGAACACAAGAGATAGGAGTTTTCTCACAATTCTATGATTGTTAAAATCAAAATAACACAATATTTATAATGTATTTTATCAAAAAATATTGCAGAAAAAGTGTCATTTGGCTGATTATGTTGAGGAAAAAACGTGATAAAAACTTCAAAAAATATTTTAATCTTAAGATCTACAAATTTTGAACAGTTCCTGGACTCAAAACCAACTAGAATCTTGATAGGATCCGGAAAATCAAATTTTGAATACACATGCGTACTTCGAGACAGCAATGTCTTAGTCTTTGTGCTCAGAAATGTTCACGTTGCCAATTATTGGATGATCTAACACAGTAGATTCAATTAGCTCTGAACATAAATTAATTCTCGAATTGTAATTTTAGACAAGAATGAAATCGATCAATTTTAAAAAAATCTATTATTGAATTCTATAGACAACCTATTGATGAAAAAGAGAATATTTTCTAGAACTTATTTGATTTTAGAAAAAGACATTGATTCATATCTAGAAGCTGTTCGGAACTCATTGACCGGTTAAAGAGAGGAATGGGTCAGAAGAATAATCACTTGATCAGTACTATCCAGTAGCTATTTTAAAAAGTCAACTAATCTCCTGAAAAATTGTTTTTTTGGATACAGATTCTCCTACAACATCTCTACAAGTCAATCAGTAGGCGATATTGAAAGATGAGACTAGCATATTCTGAATAGACAGACATCATTTCAAGCGTTGCATCAAACCATACATAAAGAAGAACAGAGTACAATGAGTTTATGGAATGTGTGATAGTATATCTAGAAATTATCAAATATGTTAACAAGGGGATCAACTTGGAGTTATTTACTCGATAGTATGTACAATACAAATAGTTAAAACAATTCAATGTCATATGCAAGTTCATTCATGTCAGATGATTGTATTTTATAAATAGATGTATTCGATTTGTTTACGGTACATTCTTTTCTCATTATCAAATACATTTAAATGAGTCATATAGAAAAGAAGTTTTCATTATCAATTGAATACTTGTCATTAAATTAATATGAATGATCGTGATGAAAATGATATTTTTCATGGTTTTATACCTCTATGGGCATTAGTTTTATTTAGTATTGCGATTATATTTCTTATTATATTTATTGCTGGTTTAATATGTCATTTGGTTGGTTGTCGAAGACTAAAACAAGACCAAACGAATAATATTCATTCATTGATTTTGAAACAACCATTACTTATAGAGAATCATCAACGAGAAGCAACTTCAATCAAATCGAATAAATTAACAAGAAAATCTAAAGATGTACTATTCTAAATTCAACATCATTATTTAAATAAATTAAATTTATGTTTTTCGTTCATCAAAATATTAATTTGCATGAAAACGAGCATGGTTTGAGATTATTTATAGGCATCGATGTTATAAGAAATATATCAAAAAATAAAATATTTCTTGTGAATAATAATTTATAACAAAAAGAAAACTATCAATAGACATTGACTAAGCAACGTTTGTTTTAGAGCATTACTTGTGCATTATAGTGTCTATGTTTGAGTTAAAATGAAAAAAGCTGAGTTTGGAATGCATTTATATTCTGAGAATTCTATATTGAATATTCTCTCAATCTCTATATGGTTTTATTAAACATACGAAATAATAGTTAGTGCAAAAAAAATATAAGTCAGTGAAATATAACAAGCAATACATAGGAAAGTAGAACATGCTTTTTCAAATTTTGTTTTTATTACAGTTTATATTACAATTAAATTTTTTGTATTAAAAGCATCAATAATCCATTGAGATATTGAATGAAATCACTTATCAAATCTTTTGATGCTATTTCTCATATTACTTAAATAGGTAAAGAAATCTCAGTTCAATGAAAGTAATATTCTTTTTAATAGTTGTGTGGCATCTTTTTTATATGTATATGTTAATCTTGTGAACTTTTGCTCATCCTAGATACATATAAAAATGTTTTACAATATCATCTGCATCATCTTCTGTAACATTTGGTTTTAGTATATTAAATTCTACAACTATCTCTAAAGCTTTTAGAGAGAGACTATTCTTCAGTTTTGTTTTAATTCGTTGTAGTGCACTAAAACTTCATCCATATTCATTATATCCAATTATTGACGTTGTTCAAATTTGATATAATTTAAACCATTCAAGTATCAGATATTGAGCTGGATTTTGTTTACAGTAATTTATGGTATGAAAACCTTGATACAAAATATTCGCTCATTTTTTGGCCACTAAATGAATTCTATGCATTTCCACTACAAAATAGAACAGAAAAGTAAATATCACGTTTTATTGAGTACACACATTGTCCTACAAAACTGTTTTGCATTTTGAATTCTAAGCTAGGAGCCGAAAAATGAGTGAATATTTTGTATCAAGACTTTCTCCTAATCTTATGGCCTGAGACTATATGTATATCGATAATGATATGATTAGACTAGTTCACTGTATTCTTTTCGAGTTGTAAATAATATAAACAAAGAAATCATACAATCGAAAATGTATTTATATAAACAAACGAAAAGTCATATAAGGAAAAAGTTTTGTGTTTCAATGAAAAAATACATAATAAAAGGTTACTTTTTCATCTTGAGTAAATTAATATAAAGTTTCATCTGACAAAACGAGCTTCTGACAAACAGTATACAATAAAATCAAAAAAGAAAACCATGTAATAAAATAATAACTAAGAAGAAGAAAAAAAAAAGAGAAAGATCTATTTTTTGAATCGTTTTACCGATGGTTTTGTCTCTTTATATATATAATCATCAATTGTATCTTGATTTCGTTTATGAGATAAGATTTTATTGCTTTCATCTTTTAATAGATGATCTTGAAAATATTTACTTGGTGCTTTTTTTATTACAAATGAATCAAGTGTATTTCGATTTGATGACAATGTTTTACTAGAAAAAAAAAAAAAAAAACTAAAACAATAAATTATTTCTATTTTTAATGATACATTACTTTTCTTTATCAACATTCATCGGTCGAATATTATTGATATCATTAATTTTTGTTGAACCTACATTCGGTGTTACTCGATACATTTGAATATCATTATGTGGTACAAGTAATGGAAGAATCTAGAAATGAATATATATAATATTTTCTAGTTAAAAAAAAAATTTTACTTGTTCGGTATTATATCGTCCAAAATCAAGCCATTCATCTATTTCATGTTGACTTGACAAAATCGCCTATAAATCATTTTTTTTTTTTACATAACTATTAAAATATTTTTCTTACTGGCATTCGAATATGTACATTTCGCATTGTTTCACTTGCATTTACTGTACATATTGTACATGAATATAATGGTCCAGTCTATTAAAATGATCATACAATAACTATATTAAATAATAAAAACTAATATATACTTCACAATGTTGATTAATTTCAAAAAGACCAGCCATAGCTAATAATGGTAATTTATTTTCATTATCTTTTTCAAATTGTTCAGAAATTTTCTCAACATTTATATTTGGATAATGTTTTTCATTGAGAAATGGTTCAGTTTGATAGATAAAGAAAGGTGTTTTTGATACATTCTTCTTCCATTCGAAGAATCTAAAAAAAAAAAAAACAACCAATAAATTTATTTTAATAATAATAAAATTTCAAACATACCCTTCAGCAAGCACAACACATCGTTGACCATTTCTCAATGGTCTTTTAAATGTTGGTTTTTGATCAATAGTTTCCGATCGACAATTATTTAAAACAGGTTTAAATTCATTTAAATTGCCTTTGTAATAACTTGGAACAAGTGACCAACGCATTGTACAAAGAACTCGTGTTGATGAATCTTCTGTTTCATCTAAATGTTTGGCCGAAATTAAACAAAGACTAAAAATTAAAGAAATTATCTCAAACAAAACTTTTGATTTCTTTTAAACAAAAAAACAAAAAAAACGATCGATTATACCAAGTAGAAGTTGGAGCTAAATTCCAACTTGGTCGAAAAGATTTTGTTGATGGCATTAAATCAATAAATGGTGGTATAGTTGATTCATGTGTTTGAGAATGCATATAAGTTGAAAGACGACGTACAACATCAGGTGCTAAACCACAAGCAAAACGTCCACACATATTTATTATCTTTCTAAAATGTCAAAATATTTATTTCATACGAGACAAATAAAACAAAAATAGTACTCAGAAAAATATTTCAATTAAGACTAACATATTCGGTTTTCTTTTATTACACACAAAAAAAACTAGAGGATTAAGTCAATAGACAGAATATTAAAAAAAAAACATAATATTGTCTAAATAGACAAGCCAAAGACGGAAACAATAGCATAAATATATTTATTTTCCCAACTACCAAAAAAAAAACGAAATAATTATCATTTTTATAAAAATCAATTATATTAAATTACCGAAGTGTACAACTACCATCAGTTATATCATTCCAATAGCAAGAACTGGCTGCATGTACATCTGTTCCATTCTTTGGCATTATTACCTATTAAAAAATAAATGTATAATTCAAATAAATAAAAATCGAACTACTTACTGCTTGTACAATATATTTAAAACGTTTACCTAAGATAGTTAATTCAGTTAGTATTTGATCAACAATATCAACTGTCCATCGAGTAATTTTATCATATTCATATGACTTACCACCAATCAACCGTTCAACGACTTCTTTAATTATATGAGATACTTCATCGACAATAAACATTGTATCCTCTCCACTTGTCATTTTTATTGATCTGAACAAAATATATTAAAAAAAAAAATACAACACAAAATTATTCTTATCCTTTTTTGAATAGGTTTCTTTTTCGCGTAGTTTTTATTACTGTTATATTGACATAGGAAAATAAAAGGATAGAAATAATAGAAAAAAAAACAAGTATGCCTTCAAGGGAAAAACTCAAACGTACAAATAAAAGACTAGACCAAGTATAGTTTTGCGTATATTTACAAAAATATGACGAAAAAAAAAACTATAAATTTTAATCATTCTTCTAGTTGTAACTATTCCGATCCTTTTATATATTAGTTTTTTTTTCTATGCACAACTTTGGGAAGGATATTTGTTCGATTATGATTTCGTTTAGATTATCATTTTCTTACCTTGTCATTAGTGTAGGAATATGAGATAATAAGATACAATTGTCAGTTGATAATAGATCATTGTCCATGGTATTGCGTTTTCTTAACTTTCTGTTTTTCTCTTTTGTCAGTCGATTTTTCAATGTCGATGTTTTCCCTTTTTATTTTTATTAGACATATAGACGAGATGAGAATCTGAAAGAAAAAAAAGACATTTTTTTTACGAAGAAAAAAAACTTAGCAGTGTCGACAATGATGTGTGCACGCGTCTTTCCTTTAACATACTTTACACAGGTAAAAAAAACAAGATTGAATTATAAGCGGACAAGATGCTTAAAGAATTGAGAATTTCCTGGAAAATGGAAAAAAAAACAAGAATCAAATAAACATTTATGTGCATAAGTAAAAAGAAATTACACGCACATCCTCTCAAAGATCAAAAATAAAACCATAATTGTCTTGTGAATCTATTTAGCAATAAGTAGTATCTCTAATATCTTTTATCGGTCAGTTTATTCTATGATTTTTTTTGCTTTAAAAATTGCAAGAATTTGTTAAAACAACTGCAAAATTAATTCATATACTTTATTGCAGTGTATTTTATGTCTATCAACATAGGTTGTCGACAGAAACATTTCTATCTCGATTTTGACATCATCCACTAGGTAATAGAAATATATTATAGTACAAGGTTCAGATATCAGTTGAATTTCAAAAAATAATTATTTTCTATAATGAAAATATAAATGCTGTTTATTTTAGTCAAAATGATATTTATAATGTCCAAGGAAAACTAGATAGAATAAACTTGAATTAACATCAAATAAGAGAATACTTTATATGCCATTCAACGGAAGTATGCCAAAGGAAATGAGAGCTAAAAACTTCTAAACATACAAAGAGAAAAAGAAAGAATGTATATACCCTTTATAATAAATATCCGATATCTCATTGACACGTGTATGCAAGAGAATCAATAAAAAATAAAATGCTTTAAGTTAATCGTTATAATAGTACTACGAATAATATTACTTGATTGGTGAAAATTACATATTAACGCTACAATCGATGTTTCAAAACGAAATTATTTTATTTTCTTTAGACGATTTATATCATGTATTCTAAAACATCAGTGGATTAATATTGATACTTGACTAGATTTTCTTTGATTTATTACTTCTGTGAAATTTAATGAGATCTTCATATTCTAGAATGCATACTCTTAGTCACTGTCTATATTGATGAAATACTTTTTAAAAAATTGTTATAAAAGGACATTCCTTCTTTTTAATTCCATCTCTCACATTTAAAAATACGAGTGTGGTACAATACAGTATTGTGGAGATGTTAACGAGTATGATTAAAGTGAAAAGTATTCACGAGTTACTGTTGTCTTGATCTTATTAATAGAACTGTTTTGAAGTCAATTAATAAAGAATTTGTTCTGATCTGATGATCAAAGTCTTACTGAATCGTTTTCTATAGAATTGCTTATGTGATAATTTGAAATTTCAAACATTACTATATTTCGAAGAACATTGGAATCATTTTTCATATGCGTATTGACATTACTCTATGTTAAGGGTATTCTCTCCCGTCTTGGGCATGAAAATCGAAAATTTTAATATAAAATGAGATTTGTTGGTCCATAGGTCTAGAAAGAAAAAAGAGATGAAAACTCATGACAAACAGCTTTGAAAGTGCTTCACATCTTTATGAAATAAGCACAAAAAGTTCGCCACCAGTGTCTTTGAAGAAGGGCTTGTATATATGAAAATCAAGTGAGCAATCGATAATTTTTATTAAAAACACGTGAAATATATTGATTTAATTATAGCTAAAATTAAATCAGAACAACCTTGAATATTCTTGTCCATTTACTGTTGATTTCAATACAATTTTTCAATTTCTATTTGTTTCTAAACTAAATAAATAATAGTAAATAATTTATATTAGTCTTATTTAAATTCATTGAGTTAGTCTTCTGAGAAATTGAATAAAATGTGGGCGTGAGTAGATTTTCTACTAAACACATATAATATTTTAATATACTATTCGAATAGAATGATCTTCGATGAACCTTTGTTGAATATTTAACAACGAGTCTTCAATTTGTTTCATACAGAAATATTTGAAAGATACACGATTTTATCACAGAATATGAAGTGAATTTTTTTTGTTAGAAATTATAAAAAACATTATCAATTATGATTGAACAAACAGTTCATGAATTATAATTAGAAACAAGTATATCGAATATTGAAAAATCAACAAATTCAAATAGAATAATGTCGACTATGCGAACACCATTACTAAGAAATCTATTGCTTTTGCAATCCGACGATAATAATTTACAAAATCAACTAAATGTGTTCGAAAGTAAATCATCCCAATGACAATCTAAATTCAACAATCTATCGGATCATTTCACTTGAGTCGAACAAGCTTGTATCGCAGTTATCGATAAGACATTCATGTACAGGCAAGGTTACAAGATGAGATGCAGAAAATCTTAATATCTGTCGGCTATGAAGAGGCTCGACACTCATTGGAACAATTCGATGGATGTGTGTGTGTGCAGATTTGGTATTGTTCCCTTTATTCATTGCTATACGTACACGCACATCCTCATCCAAGATTAATTCCTATTGCTGCGATTCCTAATCGCGAAAGATACCAGCTGGCAAATCTTCATATAGTGTAAAAATACAGAATATTTGAAAACTTAGAAATCCTTTCTCGTTTGCTGTCTTCTGGTGAAAATCGAATTTCGATATTTGCACTCAGCTTGCCGTGCGAAAAATGCGAAGAATGGGGCATGACCTTTGCTAGCGATTTGTATCTCGTATCGTTTTAATCCCACGCTAATGTTAGTTTGTTTATTGCGTTGATCAAATACTTCTGGAAGGAACAATAATTCAATGGTCATTTTTAATCAATTATTAAAGCAATACTTGAAAGGTACTGATTATGAGAAATTAGCTGGAGAATTGATCCGTTGATTTATTTTCATCAGATACTAAATGTTTCAAATTTCACACTATCTCTATTTTTCGATAGGTAAAATCATTTTGAAACGAAATCTAATCCTATATAGATTCGGTACTCTTGTGGACCAGTGAGACTTTACCATTGTGAAATTCTCAAAACTTATCGTTTCACGTTGGATGAATATCGAATTTTTGATAAAATTGACATTAATGAATTGATATCTCGTTTGGTTCTGAACTTTGCGAAATAGATGCGGGTTTTTTTTGCACTTGAGGCATACCATGGATTATTTAATATAAATATACAAGAAGAACAGATTAAGAATATACTAAACGATACTTTCATGACACATCACATATCCAAGCAAATATCAATCTTATCGAACTAAATCCGAAAACAACGATGTACTTTCACAATCATAATGTTTTTGATGAAATAGAAAAAATCTTAGACAAATATATAACCAAGTACTCTGCTATTTTATTAGACAAGAACGATTCTTGGGGTGCATCACCATTCGTTTCTGACCAAGTGACTCTACATGATGTTTTTACTATTTATATTATTGGTTGGCATCGAACAATGCTTGAGTATTTCGAGTCCTGTTTATCCATTTGCCACCTATAAACATTCAGTTGAACTTCAAGTTAATGTAGCCGATCTTTGGTGGACGGTGAATGATGCTGAAACAGAGGTTGTGTTCGAATTACATATCAACACAACTGGTTGGATTGCCCTAGGCATCAGTCCAGGTTACTTATTATTTAACGTTTTTGTCCACATATGAAATAAAACATTCATTGCTTTTAGCTGGTGGCATGACGGGTGCTGATATCGCTGTCGGATGGGTTGATCAGACGGGCAATGTCTATATGCAGGTTCACATCATACAGAATAAGACTTTCAGTAAACATATATTTATGTTAATGGTTAGGATCGACATGCATTGACTACTGCAAAGCCTATCTTAGATAATACAACGACCGATTGGTTTGTTCTCAACGGTCGTGAACAAGATGGATGGACAGCTATTCAATTCAAACGTTTACTTGATACATGTGATCCAATGGATGTTCGAATCAAAGTACGAGATGTTGATTCTGTTGTTTACTCAGGTGTCATACTCGAAAAATTTAGTGACACAGACGAAATATCGATGAAAGCATTAAAATCAGAGATGCAGGATATGATCAATATCTAGGTGTAGTAATTTGTTCAAAAAGTAAGGAAATGTGTTGGACAGTTTTAGTTTTGGTGTCATAATATATATTATTTTGTCTTTCCTACTAGTATTTATGTATGTTGTAGTAGTGACATCAGACAGATAGTGTGTAGATCACAATGATAGCAACACTTTTATTTTGCATATATCTCAGTGTAGAAAAAGGATACAGACTTAAATTTTTTTAAAAGATGCGTCATTGAAGTCTCTAAAAACGTCAAAGAAAGAACTTCTTATGATGTTTTTAGATGACTAACAGTGACGACTTGTGGTATTTTACGTTGGCTTTTGGAAAAGTGTATCATGATGTCATGAAATCTTTTGATTAGAATAAAAAAAAACAGCTTTCCAAAAACATTGCAACCATTTTTGTTAATGTCAGTATCGCTATCTGACAGATGCCACCACTACAACATATATAAATACTAGTAGGAAAGACAAAATAATATATATTATGACACTAAAACTAAAGCTGTCCAACACGTTTCCTTACTTTTGAACAAATTGCTACACCTAGATATTGATTATATCCTGCAGCTTTGATTTATATCACCTAGTACATGCGATAGAATATGAGATCTAACTGAATATGTACAAAGAAAAAATCGAAAATATTATGTGCCCTGTTACTTTTGGCCCACCCTGTATATATTCAATGGATTATCGTGCAAATATTGAATTTTCAATTTTTTTCTCAATCCTTAGTCTACTACATATTAAAATGATTGTTTAATCGATTTCCAGTCTGGAACCAACAATCTCATATTTGCCTATGGTCTTACCGATCCGGATCTCGACCAGCCGAATGGTGACATTTCTTACCATGAAAATCGTCGAGGTTCACGCATTCTACCACTTCGATCCTATGCCAATCCACCAGTCGAAGCCAAGTTTGCTGAACTCGAATATTTCGATTTTCGCATGAATAATGTCAGTTCTATTTGACTGAATCATAATTTCTATTCCATTTGTCTTTTTCATTTTAGTATCTTGTTCCATCGAATGATACTACATATTATTGTAAAATGTTCAAAGCTCCAACAAATTATGCAGTTAAACGACATGTAATCGCTGTATGTGTTCATGTTCTTTGATTTCTTTCCAATCGAATTCATTTTTGCAGCACAAAATTCTCATTGAACCAAGTAATCGTGATCTTGTACATCATCTTCTCTTGCATGAATGTAGCCCGATGGCTAAATTCGATGATAAAAACCTGCCCGATGGATTATGTAATGATTTAGCAGAGATGCTTGCAATGTGTATGGTAAATGTTGCCACTGTTTGGGCTGTTGGCGGCGATGAAGTAAGACAACATGTTACAAGAGTAATAACTACGTGTGAATAGATAGTCGAATTTCCAGAAGTGGCTGGATATCCTGTTGGTGCTGAATCAAATATCAAATATTACGTCATTCAAATGCACTATGATAATCCTCATCGAATTGCGAGTAGGATGTTATATTTTGAATTAAATGAAAATTTTTGGATCAAACTCATTTATCTTCGTTTAGATCGTCGTGACAGTACAAGTCTTCGATTTTATCTTGGCAAAGAACTTCGTCAATATGATATTGGCTATTTTACTTTTGGTCTAGTTGCTGATCCAACTGGAATAGCCATTCCACCAAGAGTCAATGAATTTGTGATTGATTCTTATTGTCCAGCCATAGCTACTAAGGTATGTTCTGCATATTTTTGGTTGATAATCCGACAATATAGGCTTTGTTCTAGAATTTTCCTGAATCTGGCATTACAGTGATATCTGCGTTTCCACATACTCATTTGCAAGGCAAGTTCAATTTGCATGTACAAAAATAAAATTATTCTTGATTATTTGATCGAACAGGTCGAAGTGTATGGACAAAATTGATTCGAAACAGAACAGCTGTGGAATATTTATTCAATGCAGAAGCATACGATTTCAACTATCAATACGAAAATCTTCTACCTAAGCCGATTAAACTATATCCAGTAAGAGAATTCTCTCATATTGTCTACATTTGATCAAGCTATTATTTATTGTAGGGAGATGAATTTGCCACTCGATGCGTGTATAATACTATGAACAAGAATGAAATCACCTTGGTAAATATTATTGAATGCATTTTCTATGCAGAACAGTATTATGGTTTTAGGGTGGAGAGAGCACAAGAGACGAAATGTGTATTCAAATTCTTACATATTATCCTCGCATGAAAGACAATTACATGTGTCTGACTATAAATACTCATTCCGAATGGACAGCTCTTATGAATGATACTAAGTATGTTTTATTGAATTAAATCATAGAATCTTATTTATTTGCATTTTAATAGATCAACTGTTGATTATGTCGAGTTGAAAAATTGGCTCCGCAGTCTCAAATGGACTCCAGAATCAACAAATCGATGGCAAGAATTCTATAATAAAGCCTCGCGTTTGGTTATTCATGGCGTTAATACACGCGAGGCTGACACTTTGTCAAGTTTACCGACATACGAAGACTTGAAATCAGTGCGATGTAGCCATCAATAAATTGGAAAATATCAAAAGATATTTTAGCTATAATACTTAAGTGTAACATACAAAAAAGATGTACATCATTACAGTATTAAGAAAGGGTCCACGAGACCACCACCCAAAATGACAGGGATCGAGTGTCAAAAAAATTTTCATAGTGCAATGGATTAGTGAGGGCAAATGATTGGGCCTAGAGACAAATTTTCAAATCCTTGAGATAAAGTTTTCGATTTATATCAGGAACTACATTGCTTTTGGCCAAAGAAAGGATGGATGATCATGAAAAATGTAAGGAAAAAAGAAATCAAGTTGTATTATCTGCATTTAATGTATTGCTAAAAATTATTCGCTTAACATATTTTGTAATACTATATAGTCGAGGTTAAAGAACAAATGAGTTTTATATTTTAAAACTACATTGGCAAGTTTTTTATCTAATTATTAGAATATATCATTGACGCAAATGCATCATCCTGTTCAATAACTAACTAATCTAAAAAACATAATTTCATCAATCATTGTTAATGATGGATCAAATGAAAATTATCTTCGTATTCATATGTCTTGTACACAGTGTTTAGAAAAATATGATATCTAAAAGACATGCTAACATATATAGAGTAGATTTATTACATTAACTCAATAAAATTCTTTGAAGAGTGTTCAGGCACAAAAAGCATATACTAATTTTCATCCAACATATTTAGCTATGAAAGTGATTCCTTTTTTGTAATAAGCTTTATATAATTAAAAAACGCGATAGGTTTGCATATCATTTAACAGAAATTAGGGTGGATGTGAGTGTTGCTTTTCTTTACAGTAACATACATACCCATACTCTCTTCTGTAACTAGCAACAGTAGTTGCACCTTGCTTCACAGTTAAATTCCACAGAGATTGCACTAGCAGTTTTTAATTATTGAAACTATGACAAATACTAATAAATCAATGGTAACGAAACAAATCAAAGATGTGTGGGGTTATTTCGAGTACAGATTCATAGTGTCTAAAGATATAATATAAATAAGTAATGACTAAAAAAAACGGTTTTGTCAATATGATCAAGTGAAATCGGTTAATAAAACTCAATAAACAATTAGCCCATAAAGAAATCTTGAATCAGTTATCGATTTTGATGACTTTAATTAGTTTTTTTTAAATCATCACATTCTGGTCTCCGATTGCGATTTTTTAAAAATATAGGATTTTCGATAAAAAATGACAAAAATATAGGATTTTTATAGATCGTTTCTGTACAATTGTTTTGGTGTTTTTTAGCTTCTCTGCTCGAAAATCGTTTTAATGAAGCTGTTATAAACAGCTCAACCATAACCAAGATTCTTATGTAATTTCTTTCTACTGAAATAAGTCGCTAATTCGAGGATCACTATAAAGTTTAATTATAAAACTTTCTCACAAATCAATAAATAACAATAAAGTAGATCATAAACTTTGAAAAAATAAATACATGAAAAAAACAAATACTATTTCTCATAATTAAATTTGACTTATAAAAGTAAAACTTGATTATAAATAGACAAAAACACTTGAATAATAATCATTAAGTATTATCTATCAAGTCTATTATATTAGGTTGATTCTGTTGGATGGATTTCAGCTTCTTGTTGATTGATTGTTCATGAAGAAAAGCATCTTTTCTTCTTAATCGAAGTTTATCGAGCTCATTTGTAAGTTGTTGCTGTTGTTCATTAACTGATGTTAATTTTTCACGACCTCCAGAGCTTTCGTTTGGTTTTATATAGGAGGGGGAGAAAGCCAGGGAGAAAATAGTCACAACTCAAAGAAAGCTTTCTATTTGGAAGAAAGTGCCTGATTCTCCTTGAAAACCTAAGTAGAAAGCATTCTCTTTCTAAAAAACGGCTGCTTTTTTTTGCAATCTTGAAACAAAGTTTCTTTTTAGAAGAAAACAACTGTTTCAATTTGAAAATTAAGGAGAATGCTTTCACTTTAGCATGTTTTTAGTATATTTTCTCTATTGAAAATACTGAAAACGCCTTAAACAGCAGCTAACGGAAATTTCCAGGGAGAAACGTAGAACGCAAGGAAAAAATTACCTGGGAGAAATCCCCTATCTTCCACCCCCTAATCGTATGGCCTGAACATACGTGCCATAACATTTACATTTATCAAACACATTTCTGAATAGACAGGAGAAATCTTTAAACAAGCAGTGTTGTTTTAAGTAGGGGCGAGAAGTTACTGTTATTTTTTGTTATTAATAACAATAAAAATAACAAAAAAAGTTATTGTTATCAATAACAAATAACAAAAAAATAATAAATAACTTCTTTTTCCGAAAAAATCTCAGTTATGCTTTGTTACTATGTAACAGTATACCAGTTCTATTTGCTCATTATTGTCCAATTGCTCGATGATGTTACTGACCGCAATCTCCATTAGATAGCCTATGAAACTGAGAAAAATCCTAAAAAGATCTTTTCAAGTATCTTGCTCACCTACAGGTAAAATTTACTAATCGGTTTACGAGGAACGATTCCTCAATGTTCGATTGCCTTTGACTTGATGTTTTGGTCAAATAAAAGTCTTTGCGAAATTAGATTCTAGGTGCCATTTTTCGAGTTATGATCTGTACAATCTTTCTAGACATTTTCTCATCTCCCAAAGGCTTATATTTGACCAACGCATCAAGTCAAAGACAATTGAGCATTGAGGAATCGTTCCTCGTAAAGCGATCAGTAAATTTTGCCTATAGATGAGCAAGATACTCGAAAAGATCTTTTTAGAATTTTTCTCAGTTTCATAGGCTATCTAATGGAGATTGCGGTCAGTAACATCATTGAGCAATCGGACAATAATGAGCAAACAGAACTGGTATACTGTTACATAGTAACAAAGCATAACCAAGATTTTTCGGAAAAAAAGTTATTTGTTATTTTTTTGTTATTAATAACGATAACAATAAATTCACACCCCTAGTTTTAAGTACGGATTGATTTCTTTTGTCTTTGAAACCGACTCATTTTCTCTTTTAATTTGAACTATTTTCTCTTTGAAACTGAACTATTTTCCCTTTGAAATTAAACTATTTTCTCTCAACGATTTATTAGATTAAGTCTCTTGATGACACATCAACTAGTTCTCCTTATGACAGAGATGGAACCGGTACCGGTAACCGGCCGGTCCGGTACCGGTATGGACTTTGGATCGACCGGTTTAAACCGGTCTGACCGATCGAAACCGTTTTAAACCGGCCTATATTTCTCACTTTCCCGTTCTATGATGATAATCATATGAAAAAACAACTGGCACCAAGACTAGTTCCACTAATCACATAGGAATTTATTTAAGGCCCCCCCTCAAAAATCTATCTCAGCCCAGGAACATCCAAAATTGCATGAAACTTTCACGATATGTTGGGGCTGGAAAGGGGAGGCTACCATCAAATTTTCGGCCCGAAATCTTCAGGTTTTAGGGAGATATGAATCAAACAAGGGTCAAAAATGACTCATTTGGCATCCCAAATTTTTCGATCCTGGTTCGTTCAATATATTAATATTTTTTTTTGTTGGAAAGAGCATCTCAAGATGCAGGGCATGATGGGACTGTTTTTTTGAAATAGTCCCTTTTTAAGCGCAAAAAAGAGATCACAAGTTCAATTACTGAAAAAAGTGTCAAAAAATGGTAACCAAATCATATAACTGGCTGTATATTGACCAAACAAAGGCTTAATTAAAAAAATGGCCCCATCATGCCCTGCGCCTTGAGATGCTCTTTCAAACAAAAAAGAAAATATTAATACATTGAATGAACCGAGAAGGAGAAATTTAGGATGCGCTTTTGAGAAAGCGGACACTGAGAAAAAACGAAAAACATTTTTTGATTTTTCAAAAAACAGCTGGTTTTTCGAATAGGGGTTGACGGAAATCTTGAAAATTTTTTGGGAAAAATGAAGTAACGAGAAAAACAAATTATCGTTTATGAAAGAGCAGATGACGGGCTATTTCCCCATGTATTTATCTCAATTTCGGAATTTTTGACGAAAAGTGACTTTTTTTGAGGGAGGCCTTAAAAGAAAATTTTCAAAATACCCATCAGTGAGACTATTGTTATCAACGGGAAAACATTATGTCAGTATGCGTGAAAGCACGAAGGTAGCCCTCAAGAGAGTTCACTATGAAACAAGGCTTCATTTCAAGCCTTAGCCTGTTGTCTATAGAACGATATTTTGTCGGTAGGTCGGTTTTTCTTTTATAAACTGACGTATCATCAGCATCCTGTTTTAGTACCGGTAGACTAGTTTTGCCCGGTAGACCGATCAGATCAACTTTTTTTGGTAA